ATGTTTTTGTTTGAAAAGGATTTTCTAGTTTGTTTACCTTTTAAACAAGCTTCACAGATTTTGTCTTTCAGAATTTGAAGCTTGGGTAGCCCAGAGACTAAATCTTTAGAAATCAGTTTGTCAAGATGATTAAGATGAATATGTGCAAGCCTTTTATGCCATAACCAAGATTCTTCTTCTTTAGTAAGAAGACAACTTTGAGATGAGATAGAATGCTTGATATCTAGCATGTAAATGTTATTTAACCTCTTACCTACCAACATTACCGTGTCAGATTTTGGCTCACAGATTAGGCAAATTTCTGGTTTGAAGATAACCTTGTGACCTAGATCACATAATTGACTTATACTGATTAAATTGTGCTTGAGACCTTCAACAAGAAGAACATTGTGAATAGTCACTGTTTCACCATCTCCTATATCTCCAGAACCTAAGATTCTTTCCTTGTTGTTGTCTCCATATGTCACGTGTCCTCCATTCTTCAATCTCAGTTTCTGGAATTTTGAAATATCACCTGTCATATGCCTTGAGCATCCACTGTCCAAGTACCAAAGTGATTCTTGTTGTTGTTCCTGAAAAATCAAACATCAAGTATTTGGTACCCTTAATTACTTTGGGTCCTTAGTGGTCAAATTTTCTGTTTCACATATTTTGGAACCCATCTCATTTTACCCCGTGGCACAAAGTGTTTTCTAATATGACAAAATTTTATAGTATGCCCTTTTTTCATACAATAATGACAAGATGAGAAAGGAGATGCTGTTGGTTTTCTAAAAGAAAAGAAATTCAAATATCTTTTAGTTTTAATCCCAACCTTAGGTTTGTACCCAATTCCATTATGGTCAAAAACACAGTTTTGGGACCCAAGAAGTGTATATAAGTTTTCTTTGCCTTGAGTAAACTTAGACAGAGTTTTAATCAAATACTCAACCTTATTCCGCAAAGAGATACACTTTTCACACTTGTTGTTAGCAGCAGCATTACCGACGAGATGAATTATTGTAGATTATCTCAAGATGTTCCATATCTGTCTTATTTTCTAGTAATTCTCCTTCTAGGATTTTAACCCTATTCTCTAACCAGTTATTTAGTCCTTTTAACCGATTATTTGTATGAGATAAATTCCTAGCTTCATTATGCATTTCATTGAAAGCATTTAATAATGTGCTTGTAATTCATTTCATTTTCTCGTGGGGGTTGAACTTACATGCGATGAAGAGGATTCACAACCAGCCATTAAGCATAGATTCACTTCTTCACCTTCAGATACAGAACTAGAGGATGAATCATTGTCTTGCCAAGCTATGTAGGCATTTTTCCCTTTGTACTTTAACTCTTTCTTGTTTTGATTCTTGGATTTTTCTGGACATTCACTCCTTATGTGTCCCTTCTTACCACAAGAATAACAAGTAAAAGTATTTTGAGTAGATTCAATTCTTTTATCGAGTGTACCTTTTAACCTCGGTCGATTCTGTTCTTCTTTAGAAATTTCCCAAACTTCTTAACCAACGAGTCGATTCTCGATTCATCTTCTTCGAATTACTACTTTCTTCAATTGTCTTGAGAACAATGTTTCCGCTTTTCTTTTACGCATTTTCTTGTTCTCTAAACCTATTGATCTCTAACTCGTGTTCCCTTAGCTTACCAAACAATGATGCGATAGTCATCTCAGTTAAGTCTCTTGATTCCGATATAGTTGTCACCTTTGGTTGCCAAGTTCTGTCCAGACATTTTAGAATCTTGATGTTTAACTATTCCTTGTCAAATGTCTTGCCTAATCCAATTAGATGATTGACTATATGCGTGAATCTTTTCGCACATCTGCAATGGTTTCACCTTGCTGCATTTTGAACAATTCATAGTCCCTAATTAACTCATGCTTTCTTGCCCTTTTCACATCGAGGTACCCTCATGAGTGACCTCTAGAATCTCCCACATTTCTTTGGCAGAGGCACATTGAGAAACCCTGAAAAACTCATCAAGATTTAAGGCAGAGGTAATAATATTCTTAGCGAGTATAATCATATTGTACTTTCCTATTTTCTCGCATCGGTTAATTCAGACCCAGTCTTTTTCAACAATTTTACCATCTACCTGTATGAGTTGGTTTGAAAGGCCCATTAACAATTGTATCCCAAATACCCCTATCAAGAGATTCAATAAAGATTTTCATTCTAACCTTCCGTAAAGAATAATTCACACCGAAGAATAGAGGATGCCTATTAATGGAGGCTCCTTCCGAAAAAGTCATCTTTCCCTCGACCATTTAAACCTTTGGACCAAATTCTTGAGTAACTTACAAGAACTAGCTCGATACCAATTGTTAGAATTAATGGTTGAGTTCAAGAGGGGAGTGAATTGAACTTTTGAAAACTTTTTAAAAAAACACTCTTTCTTTTGGAAGAATGATTAAACTTTATCCAATCTTTTGTTAAGCTGATTTGATTTTAACCAAAGCAAGATTATAAGCAAGAATTAAAAAGAGATGAAAGCATAAATTCAACACAAGAATTTATACTTGGTTCACTCTTCCCGAGCTACGTCCAGTTCTTGACAAATCTACCAAGTTCCACTAATTCCAAGTGAAAAATACAAACCAGTAGATATACACCAATCTACCCCAAGAACTATCTTACAACACCACAAGATAGACTCTTGAATTAACCACCCAGTAACTAAACTCAGTTACTGTAATCAGTGCAGATTCAAACCCAATCTACACAATTAACATTTGTACAAGTATGAAAAGAATAAACCTGGACTGCAACTTTAACAATATAGAAGTCCAAAAGCAATTTCCCCACTCAGAACTTTCTCTCTTGATGAACTTTCAACAATCTTGATCTAAACGCCTTATGATATGAAAAGTTTTATGAATGCACAGAGAAAGGCACTAATATGATAGCTCTAAGATTGTTTTCAAATGTTTTCCAAATTGTGTATTTCAAAAGAGAAATCAAAACTGTATTTATAGAGTAAAAGAGAGAAGCCTGATAGATTCAATCAATTAAAATGCCTTGGAGTCGCAGCTGACCGATTAGAATAGTTTTATGACTGATTAGAACAAGATATGATCGATCAGAATTGAGTTGTGATCGATCAGAATTAGATATGATCGATCAGAATTGAGTTGTGATCGATCAGAATCAGATATGATCGATCAAAATTGAGTTGTGATCGATCATAATATTTTTCAATCGATTAAAATGTCGTTTCAATCGATTGATTTTATTTAAAAATTAATTCAATCAGTTGTTTCGAGTTTTCAATGAATTGAACCAGTTTGAAGAAAAATGGTAGCTTTCTGTTTCAACAGATTAAAATATATTTCAACAGATTGAAATTTTGTGATACTTTAAAGTGAAAAATAACATCTCTCTGTTTCAACAGATTGAACTTGATTTCAACAGATTAAAATTGCGAAACTTTTAATATGGAAAAATCATTAAGAGCATTTTAACATGTTGATTTTGCGATTCAATCAATTAAAATTTTGACACATATGGACATTTCCTATTTAAATGATTTTAACAGATTGAAAATTCTTTTTAAAAGATTGAAAAACTCAGTTTGTTCTTTTAATGCTAAAAGATTAGTTTTTCATGCAGTAAAATAAGTTCAATGAGATGCATCATTTAAAGGCGCTTATCACAAGATCTATTGAACTATCAAGAGATTAAATTCTAAACTTATAACCTGACTATCTACATACCCACAAAATAAACTCTCTAAACTCTATATGTCTTCATCAAATCCAACAAGTGTTTCAAACTTAACAACCAAAGCTTCCAACTTTCTCTTCAGCTTTTAACTTTAAAGTTTTTACATGACTATAACTTTGTGAATAGAAAGCAAGGAATCCAAAAGGGAAAGACAAATCGGCACCAAAAAAATACATAATAAACCAGAATTAAAATAACTAAAAATTATCGAAAATTTGCCTTGTTTGTTGAAGTTGAAAAATGGAGACACGTGACCCTTTCCTAACTCTCGCAAAGCCCTAATGTGACGACGCTCACATGAAGGCTCCCTCCCAGCCCTAATCTGATAGCAGACCCCACCCCACAGTCCGGATCCTAAATCTGAACCGATTCACCTTACTCCCCTGACCCAAACTCAAACAAATCCTCTGTACTTCAAATGAAAACAAATTTTTCATTCCAACCGTGTCAATTTCAGAATTTCTGAAATAAACTGAACGTGAATTAAAATTAAACTGCATTACTTTAATCTGAGTTTACTCATTCCAAGTTTTCACTAAAAGTATCTTCAATGAGCAACTACATTAAAGTTGTTTAATTCAGATAAATTGTCCACTGGACGAACCACTAATTTAAGAACTTAAAAAGGTTATCTTCACAATCATGTAATTGACAGTATTAAACTTAAACAAATTTCTTAAATACTTTCAACGATTTTTAAAGAATATATCATATACATTACGTATTATACCTAAATTATATATATATGAAGCAAGTAAAAATAATGTTATATTAGAATTGGGTGGATCATATTCTATTAGAGAACAATTTCACCTTCAGAAAATCGTTTTAAAATGGTGATGATTATTTCACAAGCCTTAAAATTAAATAACATTAAAATGAAATAATAGAATATAATATTATTTTGGATTACGAATTTGTTATTTGGGTTATCTCACAATATTTTTTGTTTTTAACATTCATTTACGTTGTCACTTTCAAATGGTACCAGATCGAAGAATTTAAGTTTATATAGACTTGCGTACCATAAACGTCGCTCTTCCCTATCTACTTTGAGACCAAAAGAAAACTTCCTCCATTAACTAATCAGTCCTTCCACCACCGTATACTTTATTACCTTTCAAGATTACTTAAAAGAGATAAAGTATGAAATAAAGAAAAGGAATACAGAACAATGCAGCTTTTTTGATATCTTACTTTATCATAAAGAATGGTAGATGAAAAAAGAAATAATATTTAAAAATTGTAAATACAAAAATGAGCTTGAATTAGATTAATTTACGTTACAGATAGTTGCAGTTCATCTGGTTGGGGTTCCCTAATAGGATGGCGTTTTCTACAGTCAGAGTAAAAGACGGTCATAATCACGTAACTCCACAACACTAACATACCGTACCAAACTATCACACTCGCTTTATCCTCAACCTTCATCCAATCCTCACCCTCCATCAACAGCTCCATCTTCGACCCGATCAGACTCGACCCGAGCACGAACAGACCCGATAAAGCCCACCCGCAGACCCGGCTCCCCTCCATGAGGCCAGATCCGACCCTAATGGCGTCCCACCCGAACCTCTCTTCGGCGACGGAGACTACCAGGGCGACGTTCATGACGGCCATGAGGTAGATCTCGAGGGCAGACCCGGCGGCGAGGAGGAGGATCCTGGCCGTGGTGGAGGGGGCGAGGGCGGCAAGGAAGCGAGGGAGGGGCGAGAAGGCGAAGAGGATGACGTAGACGAAGATGGTGGTGGCGAAGAGGCGGAGGGCGGCGGAGAGAAGGGAGGGGGTGGCGGTGGCGGTGGCGTGGAGGGCGAGGCGGGTGGAGTGGACTGATGAGAGGGCGGCGGTGAGGGAGAGGAGGTAGGAGGGGAGGGAGAAGAGGGCCTTAATGCGGAGGAGGGAAAGGGCGTCGTGGCGGGACTGGTGCCACACGTGTCGAGCCTCGAAGCGTGTGGGGGCGAAGCGTGCGAGAGCCTCGAGATGGTGAATTTGCGAGTTGAGGGAGTGGGTGTAGATGGATTGGGAAATTAGGAGCGTAGAGAGAGGGAGAGCGGTGAGAAGCATAATTGATGCGAACACCACTTTGTTGCAGGCTATGATCTTTATGGACTCCACTATCATCTTCACTGCTGAAACGCACCACCACACGCCACTCGATTCCTCCATTCTGTCGCTTCCACTCTCACTGTCACTCTACCGCTGTTCTTCGATCATCAAATCAAACCCTTCCAATTTTTTCTACGCTATGGAGAAAAGAAAACGTTATCGTCGGCAATCTTTGCTTGGATCGTAATTAATTTACTGTAGTTATTCCTTGTTAATCACTGCATTTCCATTAAAAGATTGCGTGAAATTTACCTCATTGATATCATTATTAAAACTTTCAAATATAAATCTAAAAGATCCTATAGTTAATATGTACCTTAAACCATCTTCTTATTTAATTATGATATAAGATATATATTTAAAGATTAAACTCTTTTACCATTCTTTTTTTTTTCATGATATCGTCTTATATATAGTATAAGAAGATTATCTTATAAATATTAAAAATCAGATAATACATATCAATAAATATTCATCACATCATCTTATATCTAAATAGAGACCAATACAAGATCAATACTTTTTACGATAATAATACATATGAGATTTATTATTCTTCTTTAAGTCAATAAAAACAGTCACATGTAATAGCTAATAAAATCATAATACATTTATGATATTATCTTGTGATATAAATTCCATATCTAAAATCATTTAAGAATCATCATGAATTTCATTCCTTAATTGATTTTTTTAACAAAACTTTACACAAATAAAAATTTTGTCAACATCAATTTATAAATCTCAAACTTAACTAGACTTGAAATTTTATGTATATTTTTATCTTAAGTTGGTAAAAAAATTTCATTAGAAAATTAATCTTATAATTTTTTTTTTGAGAATTATTGTTTTTAATCTTTTGTATGAAATTATATTTGTTGGTCTAAAAAGGTTTGTGTACTCGACATTGTCTGAAAATATTTGATATACTCCTGAAAATCATTAATAACTTTGAGATAAAAGTATACTAATTATTTAAATTAAAGTTATAAATAACAAATCAAATACTTATTGTAATTCCTTATAATTATACTATAATCATCAAAGAATTAAAAAAAAAATTAGACATAACTTAAGTGAAAAAGTATAAAACAATTTTTTTCTCTCTAACATATAAGTTTATACAACCTATTTATATGATAATTACCTTTTAAAAATCTTTGTAAAATCTCGTTTTGCTTATGATATAATCTATGGAACAACTAAAAGACATTTAATAGTTTATCCTTTCAAAAGACTGAAAAAGAAATTTATTTAAAGTCTCTTAACCTATGTTTGAGTTAGTTTTGTATACATTTTTTTTTTCAAAATATAACAGATTAGTATTTGTAAAATTCTATAGTTTTCATATTTTTAAATAAAATTTTGATTGCTAAGGTAATGTAAAAATTGTAGGCAACAGTATTTTGAACAAAAGAATGAAAAATAAATTTAACGGATCCCAAAAGTTTTATCTATAAATGTATTGTATGGAATAAGAGATTTACATACGAGTGTTTTAATTATATGAAAATACAATGCATATGTATAAATATAAACTGCCTTGAAAATTTGAAATGCATAATATGAGCCTTGTCCCATAAATTTCCACTATTAGATATTTTTAACATTTTTTTTCTAAAATATTATTTAACATACTGCGTTGACAGTTAATAAAATAAAGAAATGTATATTTTTAACCACTTAAAACGATTTTGTTCTATATTTTAAATGCTTGAATTTTTTTACCGACTCATGCTTTCAATTTATTATTATATTTTATATTTAGTTTAAATTATTTTTCAATCATAATAATAAATTGTAAATAATATTATATATAAATTTAAAATCTTATTATAAATCTAAAACCACACACACTATATATAAGAGATTGCTATTGCTAGTTTTCAGTTGCGGTACTTTACCAAAATGAACAAAAACTTTGTACATAAAAATCAACCACTCCATCTCTGACGCTAGTCTAACCCAAAATTTGCAAACTTTGCATCCATCATCATCTAACTATCACCATAGAATGATAGATCCATTTTACAAATTAAAGTATAATCAGCCTAACATATGAATTGGAATCCTCTCACCGTTTGTTCAGCACTGAACTTATCGGATGCCTAAAGGGTGAAGTTTTATTTATAACCCAATGAAAATTTTTATACATATTTGACAAAAAGATATACATGCATGAGAGGGTTATTTTACATTCCTCGTCCTTGAAGGTTTAGATTTCATTACATAACAATGTCAACAAATATGTCTGAGGATTAGGATTTAGACTTCATCAAAGTCTTGTTAACAAATGTGTTTGTTATACACGAAAACACGGCATGAAAGAATGAAGAGGAAAGAAGAGACTCTTTAATTAAAAAAAAATTGTACTTGAGAGTGAATCTAAAAACAAATGTGAAATTAAAAAAAATAAAATAATATACTGTTTATTACACTATTGGCACAAAGAAATTGTATAATCAATTATGAGAATAAACGGTGCAGCATATTCTAAGGATATAAAAAAACAAATAGTTTGCATTCATAACATAAGGAAAGCAAACGTAGCACTTTCCTTCACACAGAATAAACTTCACACTTATAATGTGAATGCGGTGGAGGCTAGGGTTGGGCATCCATACAAGTCTCTGAAGGTAGAAAAACATTCCTTTTTAGATATTGGTCCCGATTAAGCTTTCTATGTAGTTTTCGAGACCTTTTCAAAAGATAAATAAATTTTATTTCACATGATTTTTCTCTTCTTAACCCTCAAACCTTTATACTTGATTACTTATTATTGAAATTCACACTGCTTTATATAATAGCTACTTAAACAAATAACCGATAATTTTAAAAAACAGAAAAGGATTTAGTTAACTTCACATTTTCTTCAAAATTTTGAAACCACACCCCCTCAATCACCAACCAACAACAATGAAGAAAGAAAGGCCCAGTATCACCTCTACAAGCCAATTTAATGTTGCAATATATGTGCCATCTTCCAATGAGTCGCCATCCAGTGATCAGAGGATGTTTATCAGCTCCATCATACCATACCAATAATTGCATTATGTTTTGTTGTGGTAGTGTGAATAAAATTCTCAATATCAGTATAATTTCGATTTTATGTCATGCCCCATCCTATAAGCACAAAAGCTCTAAGTCAAAGACTGATAATTTCCTTAATTGTATGAAACATTTTACAAATTTTAAAAGTAAATAATTTGCCCCAAATTTTGAGCACACATAACTGGTCATCGGTTATTGGACTATGAACTGGACATTATGATCTACAATTGCGGCCAACTGCAACTAATGTGGCCATGATGTTGCATTTTAAATCCTCCATTTATAACAATTTACTGCAGTGATAAATGTAAACTCCTTCATGTTCCATACACTTCATTAATACTTATTATCTGTTAATGTCTCTGTTTTGGACACACATTTTATCACCATTTATACGTACTTTTGCTCTCCGCCCAAACGAGTAGTTTGCAACACCTTATTTTCAGGAATCAAACACATTTCTCTTGGAGAAAAACTTTTTAAAAATAATGAATACTTTAAAAGAAATTGACACACAGGCTAACCATGGAAAACAAATCTACTCGAGTATACGGCCATGACTTGTAAAAAAACCTCCCACTAGAAACTGGATAAGCATCAATGCATCAATAATTAAAAAATTTCCCTTTCCAAATATAATGGAGGATGAGATTACGTCTACGAGGTGGAGTAACAAGGAAAACGATCGACTATCAAATTCAAATTCTCAGCTAAGAACATTAAGACATTGCCTATTCAACAAAGTATCAATTTATACCAACCATGAAACATTCCATGGAAAAACCACTTGACAAAAAGTAGAGGATGATCAGAGCAACAGAGTTAGATTTTACGGAATCTTCCTGTTCTTCTTCACTTCTTCCCAATACTCTCGAAATGGGAACAATTAATGACTTGCTAGAGTTCATATACGAGATAGAACAATGCATAGAGTAAAGAAGAAAATAAAAATAACCTTACATAGTTTTACCAGAAAAGGCATAAAATGGAGAACTAAAAAGCTATAAAAGGGCGAGAACATTGGAGTCAGTTTCGCAGCTTTGAAATTGGGCAAAAGCAGAACCTTGTGTCGGGTGATGAACAGGAGGTCCGGCACTGAACCGCACGGGTGTACGGCACGTGGGGCATGCGGCGACCTTGAGGAGCCACGTGTCGACGCACCTGCGGTGAAAGACGTGACCGCAGGCGGCGAGTTTCCGGCACCACTGGCCATTGCGGAAGGCGTCCAAGCAGACAACGCAGCGGGAGTCGTCGGTTAGGGTGTGGGATGCCCGGGAGAGGCGGAAGCGAGGGAGCTTGTTGATTTCGCGAGGGGGGAGGGCCTTGGAGGTGGAGGCGGTGGCGGCAGAGGGGCGGAAGCGAAGGCGGTGGAAGGCGCCGCCGAGAAGGAAGAGGTGGAGGAGGAGAAAGGCGGCGAAGCCGATGAAGACGAAGAAGAGGGAGGTGAGAAGGAGCATGATGATGGGTTTGAGGAAGAGGGAGAGGAGGTTGGGATTAGGCTTTGGTTGGGGTGGGGGTTGGGGTTGGGATTGGGGGTGGTGTGCCGGATGAGGCATGGTGATTGAATTGAGGCTTGGAAGGGAGGAAGAAGAAGAAGAAGAAGAAGAAGATATTGGAAGAGAGAAGGTGCGTGAATGATGGTGCAACGAAGGCTGTGTGTAAGAGAATAGAATGGGATTTTATGGGATCCGATCCAACGTCGGAAGAGAAAGAGACCGAGACGGCGTGCGCGTTCCAAATTATAATCTGTGGGTATGGCCACTCAATTCTCAACTCTGAACCTTTACAATTTTCATTTTCCGTCTCCTGCTATATAAAACAAACTAAGTATGGTCAACAATTTCTCCAAAATTAATCTTAATTATGTAAATCTTATTTAAAATAGGAAATTTTAATGTATAATAATAACACATAAATATATAAGGAATATTTCCCAAGTACCAATTTTAAAAAAATATTCTTACACTAATTTATACATTATACTATGTTAACTATTTTTAAAATATTATTATATTAACAAATAACAGCAAATTTGAAACCACGTAATTGATGATAAAATAATAGGATAATTAATATTCATCATAGCAATATATATATATATATATATATATATATATATATATATATATATATATAAACTGTTCCACTTTTTCAGTTTATATATATGTAAACATATATTTAGAAAATGAAACTAAACTTTTAATTAAAATTGGTAGATAAATCAATATTTCTTCGAAAATGTCAAAACAACATTGGACTTTTATAATATGAAAGTTTTAGTTTTTCATTCACAGATAAATTTATAATTTTTTTAGAAAAATATAGTTAAAATATTTGATTTAATTTGAATTCTTTTAATTCCAATTAAGTTAATTTATTAAAAAATAAAAAATTGAATTTAAGTCATCAATTTCATTGAATATCAACCAATAAAAATATAATTCAATGTTGACTTTTCATCACAAAAACATTACAAACGTAATATATGATATTTATTTTTTTGCTTATTTTCTAAATTAAGACAGGAAAAAAACTTCATATTTAAAATTTTAGACAAAACAATTGGTGAAATCTGAAAATTCCTTTTTTATATATCGTTGAAACTATTTTTTTTATAAATAATTTATTTGAAGTATTTTTATTTTAAATATTAAAAATATTTTGTGTACTAATTTAGTTTTAAATTTTTAAATTTAAAATAAATCAAGTACTAAAAATTTATTTATTTATAATTCAATGACACTCCTTTATAATTTTAATTTTGATGTTATGAAATGTTATATAAAAATAAAAGAATATAGTGTTAGATCATTAAGAGTGAAGTCACATTTAATTTTTCTTTTATTTTATAGAAATTGAAATTTTTATAACTTTCTTTCATTATAGAGATGCCTTTATTTTATTTTTTAAATCAAATACGAAACAACGAGATTTGATAATACTAATTAAAAACAATATACATAATATAATAATAATAATAATAATAATAATAATAATAATAATAATTTTAATATTTTTTTCATGCATATTGATTGATTTGAAAATAATAATAAACAAAATGACAAATATTCAATTTCTTTAAATATGGTCAACAATCAAAATTTTGAAAATATATAAGAGTTAAAATATATTTAATCTATTATATTTCTAACATAATACTATTTCATATTATCAATAAAATATTTAAATCATATTCTAATTTTACTTTTATTTTTTTTATTTAATGTTAACATAACTTTTTATGGATGCATGATCAACTATATTTAGTGATAACAAAACTGATCCATTAGTATGTTATAATATAGTAGGGTGAGTTGGTATTTTCAATCTATCAATTCGATTTGACCTATTTGTCAAGTTCATTAACTCATCGAATCAACCCGTTAAACGAGTCGACCACGACTCATCTAATTAATAATTTGTTTTATTATAATACAGCTTAATCATAAAACAATATATAAAGTTTAAAATTATAAGAAGAGAATTAAAAAAATCTTACTCTCACTCATTATAATAAATATTCTCTTCACTCAAACACAAACTCCTCTATCTCCTCTTTGCTCATCAATTCCTTCTTGTTTATTCTAAGTAGCGATTGTTCTTATTCTCGTTACTTGAATTAAATATATAAGAATTACAAAAGGGAGAATAATATGAAATTTTATCAATTAAAAGAAATATTAGTATTTGAATTTTTTAATATAAATTTAACAACGTTATTTATATATATTTTTTATTATTTATTATTATATAAAATTTATTATTACTCTAAATTATAATTTCTTAAAATAATATATTGATTTATATTATTAACTTGAAATATATACGTTGAATTATTGACAAACAAATAATAATAATATTATTAAATTTATTAAAAAAAATATTTTTAATTTTTTTTTTAATTATAACGAGTTAATCTATCAACCTGTTATTTAACCGGACAAGTCAAGATTTATAATTCATCATAATTACACTAAATCAGTCTATTCCATTCTATTTTTAACAAATCAAATACGGAGCAAATCAAATCGAGATCAACAATCCATTTGCCATCCCTAAGTATGTTAGTTTAAAAAAAAAATACTAGTTTAACCTTTTTCATTTGAAGAAGATATAAACACACTATGGCCAGTTACCGGTCCACATACCTAAGACCCAACTAGATCGGCCTTGGATCTCTCAGCAGCATAAGGTTGAAAACTCCGACCCCAAGAGCCGGTTTTCAAATTTGGACCTGAAAACACAATCCTGTATTCCAACTGTCCATGCTCCACACCTACCTCTGCATTATAAATACATATTTTCCTAATAACTTTTCAAATGGTGTTTATTTAAATAACTCACTATAAAATTTAAGTTCAGATTAATGTATAAAAATATATAACATATATACGAGGAAGACTTGTTTTTTACTCAACCAACAGCTTATTAAGGTTATGTTGTCTTTTTATGAGTAGATTAAAAATAAGAATGTATCAGACTTAATCAGAAAAAATGGGCAAGTCAATTGATGATTACATTTATATATATATATATTTTATAGTATTATCATATTTCAAATTAATATAATATTTTATTATATCTTTTATTTTAAAGAAATTTTTTTATCAGATCTTTTAGAGGAGAATTTTTTATTATAATGTTTATAAATTTTATGACAATAATAAATTAATTGTAATTTTATATTTATTATATTTTTACATATTGTTGATGAAAATTAATTACCTGTCGCCACAAAACGTGATATTTCTTTATCTTTAACTAATATTTTATTTTTTCTTATCTTAATACTAATATTATTTGTATTGGTTAATTAGTTGATAATAATTATCAAGCACAATTCTTACATTGTGCTGGTAAGTAGAATCAACATTACGAGAAAATAATTGCAAATGAGTCTAGACTTGGAGGTCCTTTTTTATAAAATTGAAAATAAATTTGATGGAGTGAAAAATGATAGATTTGAATGGAAGGAGAAGTGAAATTAAAGTTTTTTGGACAAGAGAAAGATGATAAGATGTGAAAAGAAATAAGAGGAAAATATGTAAAAGTTTGTAAATAATTTGCTTGATGTGAAAGATGAAAAAATATTTTAATAAAAAATTTAAAAATGGATAAATTATTCTTATATTATTAATATAATTTTAATAATAATAATAATTATTATATATTTTAATATTATTATAATTATAAAAAGTATAAATTAAAAAATACACGTAATCCAAAATAAATAAAGTAAATATAAAATAGGATTCAGTACATGTAATGGTCCCGGTGCAAGTATTTGAAAATAAAATAAAAATTATTAAAGTCTTTGACCGCTTTGCATCTCATATATGCAAAGAAAGTTTTTTAATTTTCTGTCATCATAAATCTGCATAAATAAGTTTGTTAGAATTATAGAATGAAATTAAGAGGGGTGAATTGATCTTTAAAAAAAATTCACAACTTTCATATTTAGATTAAGATTTTCAAAGATTGAGAAATCAAATCAAGTATGAAACCAAGAAAAATAAAACAGAATTAAAGAGATGAAAGAATAAAAGAAACATCAAGATTTATATTGGTTCACCCAAATTACTAGGTTACATCCAGTTATTAACCAATTTTCAGTTGAGTTTCACTAAATTGAATATGTTTGATTACAAAATTAGATTACAAAATACTCAACCTGCACCAAGAACCAATTCCAGTTCTTGAACTATACTTACAACCAAATTCTAGTTGCAGAACCATCGTTTAATCTTTCAGACACCAAGAGTACACAATAATGAAAAAAATCGAAAGAATAGAAGAAACTAGAACAATTGAACCAGTTATGTTGATGCGAGAATTTCAATTGCGTGAATGAGTTTCTTCATAAGTAAGAACAAAAAAATGCTTAAAGAAAGAATTATGAAAATTGTCACCGTAAAAAACACGTTTCTCTCTTGAAAATATCTCTAAAAATTACTTGATTGATTTCTAAAAAATGTATTTTAAAACGTTGAAGCAAATATGTTTATATAGAAATTTTTGTTAAATAACTGATTTAATTAATTGATTAATTCGTTCTTTAATCGATTAAAATAACTTGATTTTAATGGTTTTAACTAATTAATTTGCTCTTTAATCGATTAAATGTTCTACAAATTTTTTCGAGACATTTTAACTAATAAAAATGTGGTTTAATCGATTGAAATATTTCGGAAAAATTTCGAGGCGTTTTAACTGATAAAAATGAGTTTTAATCAATTAAAACAAGTGATAACAAATTTTCTGAAGTATTTTTAATCGATTAATTTGAAGTTATATCAATTAAAATTCTGGCAGTAAATTTTCTAAAACTTCTCAAGTGTTTTTAATAGATTAATTCGAAGATATATCAGTTAAAATAATGATAGAAGGGTTTTCAAAACTTCTTAAGTGATTTTTTAATCGATTAATTCGAAGACATATCAATTAAAATACTGACAGAAGGATTTTCAAAACTTCTTAAATAATTTTAATTGATTAATTTGAAGATATATCAATTAAAATACTGACAAAAGGTTTTCCAAAATTTTTTAAGTGATTTTAATCAATTAATTCAAAGATATATTGATTAAAACTACAACAAAAAATGTTTTCACTTGCCTTAAGTTGTTTTAATCGATTATTTCAAAAATGTATCAATTAAAATGCTATAAAAGTGTTTTCAAGTTCCTTTAAGTGGTTTTAATCGATTAATTCGTAAGTGTATCAATTAAATCTAAGACTTAAAAGCAAATTAATCGATTAAAAGAATTTTTAATAGATTAAAATATTTTGAGGCATTTTTATTCTTTTCTAATGATAAAAGCTCATGCTATAAGACTGGATATATTATTATACCTACTCAATATTGATGCAAACTCATTAAAACCACCACACTACGTCTCTTATTTCATGATTCCTTTGACTTCATTAAATTTTCAAGATATCCAATATTTTTTTTCACCTTCATCAAAGTTGATACAAGCAAAATATTTCTTCACAAATCATTACCTTTCTTTTATCTTAAACCGTATCTACACTCAATACAAACAAAAGCTTAATCTTTTCTTGTCTTTAGTTTCTTGTATTTTTCACTAAAAGAGATTTACACGACATATTTCATTGCTATTTTGTAACTAATCTTTTACTAGTATATTTTGTGACAGATTAACTACAGATCAATTATGGAATAGTCTGTCACTAAATCCAAGTAGCTAATTAAGGAGATGTATTCTCTCTCAATTTTGTAACAAATTCTATTGTGAATTTGTTGCTAAATCCTTCTCTAAGTCCCTAACTAGTTGATCTCACAAATTTCTAACTATCGAGAAACTAAATTGTCCTAAATTTCCCTAACTAACTTGTCACTAGTTATTTGCAATTTGTCTTTTGTTAACCCTTAGCTAATCTCTCATAATTTATCTATCGTTAATCTGTAGTTAAACCCTTACAATTTATCTATTACTAATTTGTAGTTAATTCCTCGCTAATCTTTAGCTAATCTTTTTAATTTGTCCCTATTGACATAGTAAAGTTTGCATCTATTTTATAGAATATTTGTTTTATAACCATGACAACAAGAAAAACATGTCCATTTAAGTCAAATTTAGAATTAACAGTGAAATCATTTCATTTTCCAGGGATATTAACATGTATTTATGCTATTAATACATAAATGCACATAAAGTAAAAGTGTAATGACTTAGCAGAGATTAATGTTAGTAAGAAGGTTTTCAAGCATCAAAATTATGCAACTAAGGTATTATTCCAATATTAGCTTTATAATGCTGGTGAAAGGTGTCCTTTTCTTCTATCTTACAGAAGGTTATATTTGATTGATTCCTTGGCTGTCAACTAATGTACATGTTATTTATTTTGTATCAGTCTATGATGCCTTGGGTTGGGGGTTTGGAAGTTATTGACAATGTTAAAGCCATAACAACAGGATCACTGCAGAAGACCACCTTTAAGACCCAAGAAAATACACTTATGAAATTCTTCATACTATAAAAACAACATGAAAGACAATGAAAAGAATCATTTTACTACTAAAAGGATAACACAATAAGGGATGTCCTTCAGAGAGACCTTATTTCCCTAGTTCCAAGTGTAATATCCAATAATTGATAAAAAAATTCCAAGTGTAAATATTTAACCAGGAACATCGAGTAGTTTCTTAAATGGGTGAATATGATAATCCTATATTCTTATAATTATGTACATAAATAAATTGAGCATATCGAGAATGATTCCTTGTGTTTTTCTATATTAAGAGCTGGTTAGAGTCCTGAAACTCCCTGCCCAGCTGCGATAAATATGATTTATTTTAAGTCAATACATAATACCACTTAAACTAGTCATTTTGGGCAATGAATAACCAAAATACTATACAAGACATTTTATTCTATCTATTTTAGTCAAATGTTGCTTGGAATGAACAAATGATCTAATTTCAAAAACTAGAAATACAAGATTTGACTTTATATTACCAGTATTCAAAATAGTTAAAATTTCAATCTCTTGCAACCTTCTATGAGCATTTTAATCTTAAAATGAACACCAACATATCATAAAAACGACATTAGATCATATCAAAACTAAAGTTAGACAAACATCTTAGTGACCAAGACAAGAAGAAGATACAATTCAATTGCTAATTAATATAAGTAGCTAAAAAACCAAAAGTACTTAAATCCTACACAAGTAATAAGTGTAGTCAGTAATCGAGGACCAATAGATTCAATTACGAAAGCACAACAAAATATCCAACAATTGGTCGAAGTTGGATTCGGTTCCTGAAATGTAAAACATCTTTTAAACCGAAAAATCATTTGAAAGAATCATAATTTTAACACTCAACTTCAAGTGTGTTATTATAAACAATAGCTCGACAAGTATGAGGTACCATTTTGTTGCAAACAATGTATCCCAAGCGTGACAACGACCAATGTAAGAGTGTCGATGACAGTAACCAACACAAGTGCAACGACCATAACAACAATAACCAATGTAGGAAATTGTAGTGGAAACTGTGAATGTAGACATCCCTCGATGAAAAAAAAATTGAAGTGGAAATGAGAAGATATTTTGAAAAAAGTGTTAGAAGAATAAATCTATGTTTTTTATTAGAAAAAGTTATAAAACCTCCACAATTTAAAAAAAAATATTTATTATTAAACCAAAGAGGTTTATATTTAAAATAATAATTAATTAAATAAATTTTTAAATATGATAATTAATTTAATTTTATTTATTATAAAGAATAATTTGTAAAAAAAAATTTATAAAAAAATATTTTCTATAATATTTTCTATCACTTATTTAAATATTATTAAATACTTCCTACAAGTTTATATTTATAAGAACAAATGATAGAAAATAATTATAAATTTTTACCAATTTTCTTGTAAATTTATATTTAAAATATATATACATAAATAATTAATATATTTACGGTAAATTTGGTAAATAAAAGTTTCTAAAAAACTTCTTTTAGAAATATTTACAATAATTTCTTATAGATATTTTTTCAAAAAAATCATAATTATTTTTAGAAAAAATTTCAAGTATTTTTTGTAAGAAAAATTACAAAAAATAAATACTTTTTTAGTAGAGGGTTGACTTATTATGAGATATGTGTAAGATATATATAGCAAGTTTATGATGAAATTTTGAGAAAATACTCCCAAACAACTTCGTACTCTTGTCCATTGGATATTTATGATGAATTTGTTATAGTTTAAATATGATACTATGCTACACAATTTAGTTAGAAAATAGCTTTAAAAAAATATAATATAATATAACTAAAATTAAAATTTCTTCTTTCAATTACTATGATGTTTATTATGAGGGATTAGTGACAAAAAATTTCCTAACTAAATTATTGTTTAATTAAGTGATGGAATAACTAGAAAGATATTAGTTTTCTCGGTATTTTACTAAAAATTAACTACAACTTTGTTTTTTTACTATTCCATCACCAATTAGCTACAAATTAATAAAAAATAAATTTTGTAGTAAATTTGCGTAGCTAATTATCAAATTTCTTGTAATGTTCTTATTATTGATTCTCAAGTGTTAACCAAATTCATGACTTGGACAACAAAAAATAAGTTTTGAAATGAAAGAAAATAATAGAGTCGTCACCAACCAATATTTATTATGAAAAAAATATGGGAAAAAACTTCAAAAGAAAAAAAAGTGAAACAAAAGTTAGATTCAAGAGTCGATTATGTGTAGGGAAAGTATTAGTACCTACAACATTCGTTCTAAAAAACAGTTACCTTTAATTATAAATAAAAAAGTTAAATATCTTATCTATTTTATCCCTTAAAATTATATATCTATTAAATGTTGCTACTAAAAAAAATAAAAGATTATATATTTTTATATTTTTGACTCAACATAGATTATCACTCTGTTTCTACGTATCCCCAGTGTACAAGGATCAGAGTGACGTAGTTCTTTTTTTAAAAATATTTGTGAATAATTTATAATTTATCCGTTTGTATTACTAACTTAAAGGTATATCCGGAATTATTTTAAAGTTGAATAATTATGTAATAGTCAGATTAAAAGTACATCTAAAATTATTATCATTTTTATAATTTAAGTAATAATTAAATTTGAAGTACATTCAAAATAATCATTAATATTTAAATATTTAATTTATTATATTTATAATTCCTATTTGGATTTAAAAGTGATTATTATTTTTATAGCAACCAAATTAGATATGCATCCAAAATGGTTAAACTTTTATGAAATATTTTGTTACTATTCTAATAACGATAGTATTGCATATTTAATAATTCTATAAAAGAATATTTGAGAAAAGAAAATGATAATTATTGAAATTTAATTATCAATATACTAGTAATTATATATTAATTTAAATTCTTTAAAAGTGAAATCATTTTTATTTTTATTTAAATAATAATAATAAAATTTGTCATACCTATTACTATTTGTAACTTGTTTTTTGTCATGTTATTAAGTTTAATAAAAAAAAAAAAACAATCTACCCTAAAGAACATTTGACCTAATAAATCATAAAAATGACAAAAATAAAAATCATTTCAAATTGTTTTATTATTTAAAATTTATTTTTGTTATTTTCACTCCCCACACCTGAATAAAAATTATTTTTAATCCAACTTGAACGATCTACCCAAAAGTCTCCTACCATTTTATTGGGTTCAAGATTAATTCGCTTCACTATTATAAACTTGTTTTTACTATTTCCACTGTCAAACACATATTAGACCATGCCTCTCTTAAGCTCACGTCTCCTTCTTAGTCCATATCTCTTTTAAACTTCTTTCTTAACCTAACTTTAATATTGGGGCCGCATGAGATGAGAATGAGAGGAAACATAGTGGGCGGTGCGAGTTGGAGAGGAAGCACGGTGGTTTGGGGCTTGAGGGTGGTTAGTTGCGAGGGTTGGGGTGGTTCAAATGGTGGTCCGACGATGAGGGAAGAGATGAACTTATGAGATTTTGTCTTAGTGTTAAGAGTGAGGCAAGGACGTGAGGCGTGGTGACCTCGGGCAAAATGGGGGCAGCAAGGAGGGTCGTTTGCGATGAGGGAGGCGGGGATGAGCATCTGTGGAGGTGAATGGCCAACGATTGGGGCTAGAGGGTGAGGGAGAAATGGAGGTGGAGTGGCCATGACTGGGGTGGCTTTGTAGTTAGGTTCACGATGGTCAGAGGTGGTGTGATGGTAAGGAGAGCGAATGAGCTGGAAATTGGATGGTGGAGATTTGGATGCAGGTGAAGGTGAAGGTGAGGTTAGTGAGTGATGGCTGGGGTACTGGGTGAAAAATGAAAAATGAAAAATGAGAGATGAGAAGATGCAGTGGCAAAAAGGTGGAATAGGGTGACCTAGCCGCGAGGGTTTTCTCCAACAATGAGGTTTGAAGGTCACGATGAAGGTGGTGCGATGAGCTCACGGTGGTGACCAATGGTGACAAAGGTAAGTGTATTTTTATTTTTAATTTTTATTAATTTTCTTTAAAATATGTACAATTTGGGGAATAATTGATTGGAGTCACAATAATCATACAACAAAGAACAGCAAATAGGAGTAACAAATACAAACACTACACTTCATAAACACTACATAAAGAGTGAACCTGTTTATGGATTTTTCTGAAATTTCTTTCAGATTTGTGGATTGTTGATTTGTTGCGTATTGATGATTTGTTGTGGATTGTTTTGTTGTTCTGTGATGGTGGGTTTCTGTTGATCCTCACTTTGCTATTACTTTGTTTTAAATGTGTTCTTGATCATTCCCTTTTTGTTGAGGTTATCTTTCAATTTATAGAGGAACCATTACCTATTGATGAGAGGCCAATCTCTGGTAAGGTAATGTTGGTAGCTGGAGCAGGGTTGTGTTGGCGGCTGAAACATATGTAAGTGGTTGGAGCAGTATAGCAGAGATGATAAAACATGAAAATGGGACAGTCTCCATGGGCCAAAGAAAAGGATGTTTTTTTTTTTCTTTTAATTTTTTAATTAATTTTTGTGTATTTGAAAATTTCATTTATTTATTTTTATACGAAGGAAATGAGGTGTTTAAAGTTACATAAACGTCTTCAACATCCTAATTCAAATGTACTTTATGTCATGCTCAAATTTGGTTTTCTTAGTAATAAACACATTCCATCTTTTGATACTCTTAATTTTGATTGTATTCCTTATAAGTTTGATAAATGTAAAATTTTACCTTTTCCAACACATCAACCACATGTACCATAACTTTTGATATTATCCATAATAATGTTTGTGGAATAATACCTATTATATCTCATGTTAATTGCAAATATTTTTTAACTTTTATTGATGATTATAGTCATTTCACCTAAATTTATTTATCACTCACAAAAGATGAAATATTTTTCACTTTTCAAATTTTCATGCATATGTTCAAACTCAATTCTCATCTAAAATTAAAATTTTACATTCAAATGGTAGGGAAGAATACACATCAAAATTATTTCAATCATTTTGTAATCAAATGGTATTATATTTAAAAGGTCATACCTTCAACCCCTCAACAAAATGGGATAACTAAATTTAAAAATCATCATATGTTTGATGTTGTTTGAACCCTTTTAATTGATAATGAATCAAAATTCACTAAATTATTTGGTCACCCACCTAATGATTATAATCTTTGTATTTTTGGTTGTATGTGTTATGTCTATCTACTTCCACAAGAACGTAACAAACTCAATACACAATCTATTTCATGTGCTTTCCTTGGATACTTTATACTTGTTGAATTATTGGCAAGCGTACCAAAATTATCAATCGCAATATAGTATTTCGATAAAATAAAAGTCGATCCCACGAGGAACAATTTCAATGAAAATTCCCAATTATGCTTACTAAGTATATTAAACAGATTGGGTTTTGCAAATAAGAGTTGAGTTGAATTTAAATGTCAAAAAACTGTAAATTATTGAGAAAATATCAATTAAAGGTACTTAGGATTGACTTCCTTCCTTATCCCTCTTTTGTAATGACTAAATCAATTAAGAACGTCAATTAACCTAACAATGTTGATGTCACCTACTCAAATCATCCATGTTGATTCCTCACACATGAAATTCATAAGAAAACCTAATAAATGTTGATTCCTCACACAATTAAGAGATTTTCCAGCATTAGGGTTAAGGTGTTTAAGCACTTGATACATTCATTCCATTCTTGGCAATTAACGTAACAAATATTCTTACCGTGATCTAGGGTTCAAGATATATTTTCCAATCATACCTCAAACAATCAAGAATAAATCATTCCAAAGCATAAAGGATAAGAATAATAACATCAAAACATAGATTAATATATCAAAATATCACCATGATACAAAAGAGTTCAAAGGAAGTGCACCGAATCCTAAGAGAATGAAGTTAGTCACTCATGTTGACCATTACAATGCTCCAATTGATGAAGAAGTAAAAAATTGATGAAGATTGGACAAAACCCTAACAGTAGTCGTGTCTCCTCTCCTCCAAGACTGTCTTTTTATAAGAGAATTGGGGTCGGACCTCGCATCATTTATTCATTTAAGCGTTCTTCTTTCTTTCAATTTTACTCTAATTATGCTGACAATTATGCTTCTTACTCTTGTATCAAGATATTCTCGAATTCATCTTATATTGGAAAAAAATATATTAGAATTAACATAAGTTAAGTGGTTTTATAACAATTTAAGGCATAATTATATCAACTTTTTACCACTTAACACTTTCCTCATAAAAAACACTTTTTATGTTATGATCCTATTCTTTGTAAGATGCATGTCTTTAGAAATGCAAGTTTCCAAGAAAATACATATTTTTTTCTAAACATAGTGAACCTTTTTATCTCCTATTCCTATTATGCCATTATTTTCTAACTTTTTTGCAAGTCAATCTAAAACTCCCTTAACCTACCAAAGACATAATGTTACCTTTCAAAGTCAGCCAAAAAAATCTCATGGACCCCTTCTAAATAATTCCTTGGATGTTGATATCGGCTAAAAAATAGTTCTTTGAGGTAACTTACAATTTCGTAAACCCACAAAAAGATATATCAATTTCTTGATTGTAACATTACCATTTGTTTTTATTCCTTCTTCTTATGAGCAAGCCATGAAAAATGAATGTTGAAAAAATGTTATAAAAGTTGAACTTCTTGTCATAGAAAATAACCATATGTGGGATACAATTCTTTGTCCCTCATGTGTTAAACCTTTGAGTAACAAGTTCATATGTTTTATCAAGCTACAATCGAATGACTTTATTGATTATTATAAGACATGACTAGTTGTTCTTGAAAATAAACAAAATATAACCTTAATTATGTACACATTGTCCTTTCTCTTGTAGCATCAAAACCTTGGTCATTACATCAAAAGAATATAAAAAATATTTTTCTATACGGCAATCTCAAGGAGAATGTTTACATCAAACTCCTTTGTGGTATGCCTCAAACTTCTCTAAATATGATTTCCAAACTAAAATACTCTTTAAGTGGATTAAAACAAGCTTTATGAGTATGATTTGAAAAATTTTGCTCCACATTACTTGATTTTTCATTGAATCAAAATCAGTATGATCCATCACTTTTTCCCTAACAGAAATCTAAAGGTATGATGATACTTGTTTATGTGGATGACATTGGTGACTGATTCTGATTAAGAGGTTATTTCTAAAATTAAACAATTATTGCATTCAACATTTTACATTAGGATTTGGTCCAATTAGTTGGACTCACAAATGTACCCCTTTAACACTCCAATGGATGTTAATATTAAATATAAATGAAATGAAGGTACCCGTATTAATGACACCATTATGTATTAAAAACTAGTTCAAAGTTTGATATTTGTGACTATCACTTGCCAAAATATTTTCTTTGTTGTACACATTATTAGTAAGTTCATGCAATCTCTAGATATTTTCATTTTTAAATAGTAGAACAACTTGACACCTCAAAGCCTGATTATTTTTTCATGTTGACTCACCTCCCCAACTTCAAGCATATTGTGATGTAAATTTGGACAAGTTGTCCAAGTACATGAAAATATACTATTGGTTGGTATATGTTTGTTAAAAAATGCTCTTGTTTGTAAGAAACAATATTCAATTTCAAGGTCATCCACTAGTACATAGTATCATGCTTGTTCTAAAATAATATAATTGTTGTGTTTTTAATAGAGCTTGACTTTTGTCAAACACAACCTACTTCGTTATATGTTGACAATGTTAGTGTTATATAGATCACAACAAATCTTGTTTTGGCACATATATTGATGTTGATTGTCACTCATTCGAGAAGCATATGATAACAAAATAATTACTTTATTACATGTCTTAACTTTTATTCAAATAACTGAATTTTCATTAAAACATTAACATGTTAATGACACAATTATTTATTTGTTTTTGTAGACCTAACAACATTAATTTGAGGGGATGTTTTAGAATTTATGGCAATAACAAATTAATTTTTATTATATATTTATTTTATTTTTATAATTATTGATTTAATTAAAAAATATGTTATATATATATATATAACAATTTAATTATTTTAATAGGCTAAAAATAAAAAAATGATTAGTTATAGTTAAATAACATTTACATGAGAATTCTCTAACTCGGAGCACTACAGTTATTGACATATTCTTTTGAGTTTTGTAACATTGTTCATCACTTATAGTTTAATAGATAAATTTTTTGTATTAATTTTTCCTTTTTATCATATACCAAATAATTCTCCCTAATAAGTTGACCTACTTTAGATGTATCAAAATAAACTTAGTCCAATGGGTCACCAAAACACTCAAGAAATAGTTCAAATCAGGTTAAAAAAATTGTAGTATAAATCAAATCAAATATATTTTTGTCCTGATTCTGTTTAGGTCATATTGCACATGAACTTAGGTTATACTAGTATGTAGACTTATAAGTCAATCTATTTTATAAAATATTATATATATATATATATATATATATAATAAATTAATATATATATTATAAATTAATTTGATAAGATATTCACTTATTTTTATAAGAGTAATTTTTTAACAATTACTTATTCCATCATGAAATGATTAAGATTAATTACTGTTTTAGATCAATAAATTACCAATAAATAATAATAACAAAGAGTAAATTT